TAACCAGTACTAGTTAATTTAATGTTCAGACACATCACGACAATAATAATTTTGGAGAAATGCATTTTATGACTAGGTTTGGGTTTTGCAAAACGGCGCATTTAGTTTTAAAAGCTTTTCTTGGTTAGCAGAGGACAGGCAGGAAAGGGGGAAGTCAGTTGCTCCCAAGTACGGAGCCATCCAAGCTTTCTAAACACAAGCGGCTCTCCTTGCCAGCTTATACCTTGGGTGGAGTCTGAAACCCAGAGGGTGACACACTGGGGAGGCAGGGGGGCTGGATAGCATCTTCCTGCCAACCCCAGGAAGAAAAGTTTTGATCCATAGAGGGAACACTGGACTCATGGGTAATGCTTATTCAGTTGATGTTTTCCCCTCTCTCCATATTTTATGTGTGCCAGGACACCAGCTACAACACTCCCAGAGGTTTGAGATTACCAGGAAATGATTGAAAATGTGTGTGTTCTTGTGTCTCCCCCCCCCCTATTTATACAAGGGCACAGCACTTATTTGCCTCTGCTGAAACCCATGTTGTTTTTAAGTAGCGAACGCATACTACTGTTTAAACACATCTCTGGTGAAGTGCTTGGAATTTCGTTCTGGTGTCAGAGTGCTAAAATTTTATGAAGCTTGAAACTCAAAATGGTACGTAGCTGGCATTATTGTAGAATCAGCAATTTTTAATAAGCAGCCATTGTTACAAGTGTCGAGGCCGTTCCCTGACCTTCTCATGAGGTTCCGAAGACTTCCGTGTTAGTGTTAACAGGAAACAAGGGGAGTCTGTTGCTCAGTAGACTGAGAAGGAAAGAGAATACTTTGGTGGGAGTCCTTGCCTCCTCTAGCAGGCCTAAGTGAAACTTAAATTTTTACCTTTGTTTCCTGTGAGGGCTTCAAAACAAAATGCAGCCCGTCTGGTAAATATTCTTTTACTATCTGGCCGGCCACCTATTTTGCCCCAGCAGTGTTTGAATACACTTAGGATAGCTTGATGCATTTTTGGAAAAGTCGTCTTTTTGTGATTCCAGCCACTTACGAGCCCAGCATCAGACTTGGGTAATTAACTGGTTTCAGTGGATGTAAGCATCCCTTGACTCAGCTAGCCCAGGCTAGCCTGATCTCGTGAGATCGCAGAACCTAAGGGAATACCAGGGTGGTGGTGCAGAGGCAGGCAATGGCAAACCACATCTGAACGTCTTTTGCCTTGAAAACCTTCTGGGGTCGCCATAAGTCAGCTGTGACTTGACGGTGCTTTCTACCACCAAGAGTGCACGCTCTGCTGGATTGTGGGTGCATCTTCACTCACAGATACATAAATTGTGTGCTACATCTGGAATCGGCTCAGATTTAAGTATTTTAAAATACATGTGTTCATTTAAATGGATTTCTCATTGTTTGTCCTTGAACTAAGTGCAGTACAGTGGCATGGGTTGAGTCTAGGGGTGTGCAAAAACACACACACAATATTTTTCAGGTTCAGGTATAGTGAACCCGAAAAATACCAGTATTTCCCGATATTTCTGAAACCGAATACTGGTATGGTATTTGGTAAATATTTGGGAAAGCCGAATTTGTTCAGCTCCATTATACCCTGTGGGGGACCATTGTAGTCAAATGGTCCCCGTAGGCTATAATGGAGAATCGATCTGGGGGAATATGGGGCCCAGGGGGCTGTTTTTGAGATAGAGGCACCAAATTTACAGCATAGCTGCTGGTGCCTCTCCTCAACCCCGTCCCCCAAGTTTAAAAAAGATTGAACCAGAGGGTCCAATTCTATGGGCCCCCAAAGAAGGTGCCCCCATCTACAATTGCTTTCAGTGGAGGAAAAAGGCATTTAAAGGGAGTGTGGTCCCTTTAAATGCCTTCTCTAAGCTGCATGACTCCGCAGTGAGATTCTGAAGGCATTTAAAGGGCTCACAGTCCTTTTAAACTCTTCCTCCAACTGGTAAGCTCACCTGGAAGATGTTTGGAGAACATGTGAGTGCTTTAAATGCCTGTCGGGTGAACTTGCCACAAAGTCATGTGGCTTAGAGAAGGCATTTAAAGGGACTAAAATCCCTTTAAATGCCTTTTAAGTTTGGCTATCTATCAAACCCAAATATCCTAGTAAGGTCTTTTCCAGGTATTTTTTCTGCTCAGTTTATGCACACCCCTAGTTGGATCTTGACAATAACTTCCCCTGACAAAAAGGGGGAGCATTTTTAACCTATTCCCTCCCAAACACACTTCTGCAGATCTCCACTCCCCCCCCCCCCCCCCCCCCCGTCTCAGGAGTAGCATTTCAAGGAGAACAGTGAGATGCAGCCGGGGGGAGGAGGGGAGCTGAGAAAGTCCGTTCTTTTAACAGCACTGCCATCTGGTAGCGAGTATTATCATTGGGATCCATTACTGTGATTAAACCAATTAACAGCCAGCCTGGTCTGGCTGTTAAAAATCCCCCTTGTTCAACTGTTTATTTCCCTCACATGTGTGCGTTTCTACTGTTCATTTTGCAGCATTTTAAAGAAAAGGAATGCAACCCCTAGTTCTTTAGTTCCCAGTGTACCATTCAAACTTTGAATAATTCCAGATAGTTTCCAGTCTGAATCACAAGGAGAGGGATTATTGGTGATTAGCCGCTACACCAGGGGTCCCCAACCTTTTTAAGCCTGTGGGCGCCTCTGGAATTCTGATACAGGGTGGTGGGTGCAGCCACAAAATGGCTGCCTCAGGAGGCGGAGCCAGCCACAAAATGGCTGCCGCAGGAGGCAGAACTAACACAAAATGGCAGGGGAGTGAGGTTATATATAAATCTAATAGTAACAATTTGTCCTTTCATGCAGAAGCACAGTTTAACAAGATGCCTTTTAATGTGGCACAATCTGAAGCCCCGCTGGGGAAACGCCCCGCCTAGCCCCTCCCACTTTCTATAACCACTCGACGGGGGCCAGGAAAGGGGTTGGCGGGCACCCCGTCGGGGATCCCTGCGCTACACCTTTAAATTATTAGCAATTTAACTCTTTAAATTTTACCTTTCAGCTTTTCAAACATATCCCCCTGTGCAACACAGCATGGTATCCTTTTAGTGTGAATAAGCCAATAGTTGAAATGTTGAACTTTTACCCTTTATTTAATTTAGCACCTTTTTCACAGTGCACTTTGGGAACCAAAAAAAAAAACAAAGCATT